AGAATTATTTCCAAGATCAATGATGACGGTTATTTGGCTGTATGGTCAGCCAAAAATTCAATTAATTAAAATAATATAAAAATGAATTTTTGTTGTTGTAATTCACTACTGTTTGAAAAACCTGATTATTATTTTTATTTATATATATCGTTATCCTGTATTAATATCAATTTTACTAACTTATTTAACACATAATTTTAATTAACGTATAATTTTTGAGACATGATTTATGAAGGCAAAAACCTTTTTTTATTTTATTTGAAATTAGTAATAATTATTTTTTTTGATTATTTTAAAGATAAAAATTTTTAGTTTTTATTATTAAAAATGGGTAAATTGGTCAATTGTTCAAATAAAACACAACTTTTTAAATATATTTTTAAAAATCATATATTATTATCACCAATATTTCGACTTTAGCTTATAAATAATTTACTAAATTTATTTTTGAAACGTTTAAATTGATAAATTGTTTAAATAATACACTATTTTTAAATTATTTTTAAAAATTGTATATTAGCGTCACTAATATGTCAACTACAGCCTAGAATCATCTTCAGGGTGACAGCATGATAGACTCTCGACGAAATATTGTTGAAAATAATATATAATTTTTAAAAATAATCATTAGGGTGCAGAATGCTATAGACCAGGGCTATTCAGATCAGATACGATCGTGGCTTAGTACAAGTCACTGTGCAGATTGAAGGGCCGCAGCAACAAGTACATACACCCATGGTTTTTTTGAAGAATATTACAAATGCGGTGATAATGTTAAATTTAGTTTTGTTCATTAATTCATTTGAATTCTTTTTTTTTTGGAATACTATAAAAATAAAATAGTGTAATTTTACTAAAATATATAACAAAGGAAAATTTTTATATTGTAGAAGATTGAAACATGTTGCGAAACTCGTGTGGCTCGTGGGCCATGCTTCGGACATGACTATAATCAAAGTTTTTAATATATCACTTTTAAAAATAGTTCTAAAAATAGTGTATTTGAACAATTTATTAATCTATCCATTTCAAAAAAAAATTTAGTAAATTATTTTCAGTGTACTCGTGTCGTACACTGGAATGGAAGAAAGTGCTCCGGCTTTAAAGGTGTTTCATTCGGTACCCGCGGGTAGAAAACGCGGTAGAGGACGTCCGCATCGTCAGTGGAAGGACTAGGTGATCAATGATTTGAGGGTGCTTGATACTATTAACTGGCAACAGCAAGCAACTAAACGGGCTTGCTAGCGGAGGTTACTCGACGCGGTCAAGGTCGTCTCACGCCTGTAATGGCCCACTAAGTAAGTAAGTCATAATAAGTAAGATACAAATTGGCTTGTAATAGAGAAAGTATTTGATTATTTATCTGTATATAGCATTCCTTACCTAACATTTAGAAACATATTTTTGTTAAAAAATCACTGAAAGTTCTATAATATTTGACTGATGAAGTCAAAAAGTTTCAAACTCTTTTTCGAAACGCATAAAAATCTTGAGTACTATAGTACATAAAAATTTAATTAAATTAATTGTAGATACATGAATGTAATTTTTTCGCATATACGATGTTGTTTAAATGATTTTAAAAACGTAATTTCATAACCAATTAAATTGTTAAACAATATCTTTGACGTACTTTTTGTTAAGCGTCATTTTGATATTTTGCAAAAATATTGTATATTTTGAATTGTTATGAAGTTAAGGTCGCATGGCGAAATTATTGTGTAGTAAAATTGTTTCTACAATAACAAAAGTAACTAAAAATTAATGTAATTATAAATATTGACGTTTCCATCGAAAGATGCATAAAACTGAATGAACACATGACTTAGCAATTCTTGTAGGAATTCTGAAAACCTTTAAATTACATTATTGTTTTGCAATTAATGCTTAAGTTCTGCTTAATTGTTTTTAATTATATGTGAATCAAAGGGAAATTTTCACATCAAACAAATAAAACAATGTGTAAATTTTTTTTTATGATCTCAGTTATATCCTATAAGTAATTATAAACTGTTTAAATTAGTGCAATTATAACAAAAAAATCACAAAAAGTATCGGTACTTTCCCTTGTGTTTAATTTTTTTTTTTAAAGTATCTTAACACTAACAAGATTGGTGGATGTGAACGTCAGAAAAATTTGCTTTGAGCTTAGCCAAGCTAAATTAATCTTAATTAGTTTAAAGGTTTTAAAATAACCACAAATAATTTGTTTCTATATAAAAATATTTTATAACTTCTTTGAAAATAAGTATATTTATACTTTATAAAGAAAAATAAATTTTTACATTTTATTCCTTTCTGATGGGATATTTTGACAACAGAATTATTCATTTTCTTGGAAGAATTACGTTTGGATGGGAAATTTTAAGAGAATGATACACCGATTGAGTGTTATTTAATAAGTTCGATTGCAACAAGAAAATAAATTAATGATTAATAAAAGAATATGTATTAAAAAGAATTTATGTTTATAAATATTTTTTATTAAATTTAATTAATAATTTTATTATTACTTTTAATTCCATAACTTTTTCTTATCAAATAATTTAGATTCAACTTCAGTTTTACTTCAAGACTAATTTCGTTATAATATATATGGATTACAAATATATTAATGTTCATAATACCGGATTATCAAATACATCCTCTTCAGTAAATTCTCTCTAACTATAAAAAAACTTATTTTTTTTACTTTTAGAATTTTCTCTAATCAATTAATTTAGTTTTAATTTGAGTTTTAATTTAAGGATAATTTCGTTACAATATATATGTATTACAAATATAATTACGAACCATTTCATTGTTTTATGTCTTATGTTTTAACAAATTTAAGAAATTACCTCAGCAAGTGCAATTGTTAATAAACTTTCATAGCAAGTGAACAGAAAATTTTAACCTAGGATAATACAAGTCAAGTATGGCTTTGAATTAGGCTTAGTTTACTTCTTCTTCTTCTTCTTATTTGGCACTACAGTTCAGTATGAACCTTGACCTCCCTCACGATCTGCCTCCATCTGTCTCTATCTTCAGCTACTCTCTTCCAGTTCAGTACTCCAATCGTTCTTGCATCACCATACACGTTCGCATCCTATCTTGTTCTTGGCCTACCTCTGTGCCTGGTTCTCATCGACTTTGCGTTGAATATGCTGTTCGGCTTTCTCTCCGACACTATTCTTATTACATGAGCAGCACATTGTAACCTTTGCGACTTAATGTATCTCACTATATTTTCATTTCTAAGCAGTTCTTCAATTTCATTATTTGGTCGTTTTTGAAAAGTTTCTGCATCAATTTGGATTGGCCCATAGATTTGGCGAACTATTTTTTTTTCAAAAATTTCATATCATATCATGTGCTTGGGGAGTGCCAGCGCTGTTGTACAAGCGGAAAAAACACCTAGGAGGGTATTTCATGTATCATAAAGATTCAAGACTAGGAAAGGTAGGCTATATACTGTCTTTCATTAAAGAAATCGGACTTGGAGAAACACTCTAACGCGAGTAAGGGGCACAATAAATCTTTTAGTTCGCAGTGCACAATCCCTTCTTTTAATAATAATAATAATATAAAATAAAGAAAATATAAAAACCTTATATTAAGTGCCACATTTAAATCAATTATTAAAATATTTTTAAGGACAGATATAAATAATATAATTTTTTTAATTTAATTGTAATTTCTTATTTTAATATAATTAGTTTCTATAAAGTTAACATTCTCAATAGTCAGTAGCATACTAACTGACAGTTAATACTAATCCCATTAGAGAATTCACATATATTTTGAAGTGTTTTCAATTGAAATCTTAGGTGTAGAGTAGGTGTATTGGGGCCTTCAATCTATCGATAGATAGCTAGATTACGTAGATTACGTATGTATAGACAGCGAAGAAAAACTGTTCCCCGGAGGTCGATATATTGGTGGTAGACTCTGCGTAGACTCTGGTTGAGTAAATCTATTTTGATTTACGCAAGCAGAGTAGAGGTAAGAAACCTCCTTTTACATTTGATATATTATATTTTTTAAATATTAAATTATTTCAAAGTGTCGAAGAAATTTTTTTTGTATAGTAAATGTATAACAAAAAATTTTATTAAAAAAAATGTCTTTTGCTTCACTCGCACTCTTAAAAATTACTCATACGCAATGTTTTCCGTCTAAAGAAGGACACATATTCAGAATATTTATTATTGTATATTCTTAAAAAAAACCAATTTAACAAATGTTATAGAAATTACTATGTATACATAAATGCATAATTTATTATAAATTTTTTTAATTGCAATTTGTCTATATAAAAAATAAAGCATTGAACCTAAATTACATTGAATAAAAAGTAAAGTAAATGAAAAAGTAAAAACTAAACAAGTTTCCTATTTAAAGACTCACTTAAAATTTTATTTATAGAAATATGACATATAAATAAAAATATAAAAATAGCAACTGTAAGGAAAGCCGTAAAATTAAATAACTGAAATATATATACCATATGTAACTGCAGTAATCGTATATGTGATTTCAGATACGTGCATTGAACCAATTATGGTTTGAGGCAACCGCAGTGCAAGCATTTTTAAACCATTTTCATTCCTAAATCGGCTGACATCAATGGAACACCACAACGCCCACTTTATTTTTCCGAACCATTTGAAGCTCAATAGTTGTCATATGTATGAATAAAAAAATTTTATTACACATAAAACTATTACTATATACATTCAATTATTATTATTTAATATTTTATTGCACAATTATATTGCAACTGCAATAAAAATCAGCTCATTAGTTAATAAAATGAATGCCTTAATATAATTACTAATTATTTGGACCATAAAAGTTGTTAATTAATTGCATTAAAATGAATAACAGCGATAATAAAAAACATATTAACAAGATGAATTAAATTAACTGTGGGTAATTTTTTGTTAAGATATTTTTATACTTCTGGTTATAAATGTGAATGTGATTATTGGTTTTAAGTTACTTTCAACATTTCTTACTTAGGCTTATATCTCTCTTGTTATTTATCAGTGGCGGACTAAACATGTTTAGAGGTTGGGATGGAGATGTTTTTGAATATAAAGAAAAAGATTAAAAATAGTACTTATAAAAGCAAAAAATTACTGACAAAAAAAAAACAAACTTACCATATATCAAGGCAACTTTGGTCAAAAATATGCCACGAAAGAACCACTACTTTTTTAAATTTAACAAAAAAATAGTGTACATCTACAGATGTCCTTTTCACACTATCTTATGTGAAAGATATACACGCGAAAAGATTATATGCTTACAATAGATGATTTTATAGCGTCAATCAAGACAAGGGTACAGTTGAGTACTTGTTTCTGCACAGTTCGATTCTCCTCAGAAAAAAGGTTAACTCTTTGATTAACTCTTTCTACTTGGAGAAAATAGTAGACAATGACTCAGTTAACTTAACAAAACCCTTAAAGTTTCTTTTGGAAACCAGATAGTTCCACTAGAGTGGGACACTAGAAGCACAGTTCAACTCTCATTAGAAAATGGATTAACTTCTTTTGTACTTTAAGTAATTGGTAAACCAGTATTCAGTTAACTCAACAAAACCCTTAAGGTATCTTTTGTAAACCAGATAGTTCCACTAATGGGTGTTAAAAAGAAGAGAAATTATTTCCAAAGGGCAGTATTTCTGACCAATTGGAATGCAATATCTCTTGTTGTGAGACTGCAAATTTAATAACAATAATAATAAAAAATAGTTACTATGCTATGTTATTTGTATGTTTACTAGCTACCTACGAAGTCGTGCACTGTGACATTGGTATATATTTTGAACTGGCAAGTAACCCTAACCAAACAGAAGACACTTAGCCCTTCAAAATTTCTTCTGTCAAATATTTTCTAATATTAGACACGGCTAAAACCACCTTGCTTAGTATTAATTTTCTGATCTAGAGCAAAGTAAGACAAACACGTAGAATATAACTATATGGACATATTCCCTTGAGTTGGAAACACAGGCCATAATGATCCATCAGGTAATATGTGAACAACATCAGAACTATAAGAGACTTCTTACAGTAGTTGTAAGGACAAATCATTTGTTTTGTCTAGCGGTTATACGAACAAGCCATCTGTTTTGTCTAGCGGTTACCCTGAAAGCCATTTTTTTCATTATAATTCACTTTTTCTAT